TAAAAAACTGTCCATATATATTATACTATTTTATATATTATGGACAGTGTTTATTTATATATATATCAAACTTTTTATATAGTGTACATATATATTACTGTTTTAAATATTATGGACAGTGTTTTATTTACATACTGTATATAACTTTTTATATATATGGAAGCATAACTGCCAAACTGAATTTAGAGTAAGGTTTCAAACTGTACCTGTTAGCCACTGGTTGGATTTCACCTCCTTAAGCAAAGGACACCCAAATACTCTGCATTATTCCGTACTCAACACACAAATACATTGCCTTCTATCAAAACTCAAAGTTCTTTTTTGGCCAAGAAAAAAAGGCAATGCAGATATGTGGCAAGCCTCTGCTAGAGAATTTGGAATAAAAGCTGGTCTACTCGCTAGAAAAAGCTAATTGCAGTCAAATTAAATTTTCCTCTTTGAGAACCAGATAAGAACAAGAAATTGCCAGAAATTTTGGGGACTCATACATATATGCATTGTCCACAATATTCAACTATACAGCCTAAGACAGATTTGCACCGAAAGCTAGCAGTCTGTTCAGTTCCTACAAGTCTAATGAAGGTACAGGTTTCACCTGTTCTCGCCTTTGAAAGGGAGAGTGTGACTGGGGCTGTGTGTGAATGGTTTTCTCCTCAAGTTAAACAGACTATAGTTTTCTCCTTTCCTTTGGAAAAAGAAACAAAAGCTGAAGGAGAGGACTCGAAATAAAGAGGGGAGGAGAAAGTTATATTATATGCGGCCTGATGAAGGATGTTGCTATGCCCGTCTCCGCCTGTCCCATCCAAGTCGTCCCTGAGGCAAAACACAGAGACAGACAAGCAGCTCTCTTTCTCCCTGAGGTTTCGTCTTCCATCAGAAATACAAACAAACCCCAAAAGCTCAGCGTTAAAGCATTTAAAGGGAATCTGCCACTAAAACCCTGTCAAACCGGGCGGGCCAACTCAGGCACTGTTTGAACCGGGGACTTTCCCGCTCGCTGCTGAGCCACTGGCCAGCCGGGTCTCCTCTCTCTCACACACACGACGCGGAGTGACAAGGCGGGACCTTGGCGAGGGTTAGCAATTTTAAAAGGGAGCGGGACAAGGGGGCTCCCAAGGGACACGATTCGGGCCCCTGAGGAGAGGAGGGCGCCAGTGCCTCGAGGCGGTGCGTGCGCGCGACGGGGGGGGGAGAAGAAACGACTACTTGTTTCCATGACTACCAAGCTCAGAGCCCTACCGGAAGGATAAAAGGCGCCGACCAGGGATGAGGGAAGCGAAGACCGGCGGCTTTATTCTCCGTTTTCCCTCACGACGCCAGCCGCGGCGTCCACCACCGCCAAAACCTTCTCTCTCACTCACTCCTTCCTTCCTCTGCCGGGCTTTGGTGCCCTCCCTTCGTTCGTTCGTTCTTTCTTTCCGACCGGATTCGAAGAGGCGGGAACAGCGATGGAGCCGGAAGCGGAAGCGCCTGCCTGGAGGGCGGGGTCTCGCCTTCTTCCGGAGGGAGGCGGCGGATAGAACGGAGGTTCTGCGAGGGGCGGGGGCAAAGGAGGAGGGGGGAAAAAAAACCACGAACCGCGCCATAAACGCCGCTGATAAAGCTTCGGAGGGAATGGGTAGGAAGGAGCGTTGCGCATGCGCACGTGCGCCTGGAAGGGAGGGTGGAAGGGAGGAGGAGCAGCGGCAAGAAGGGACTGGCTGCACGTGCGCTTTCGGGGTGGGTGTGCGCGCTCGTGCGTGTGTGTGTTTGTTTTAGAAGCGCTTGTTTCGGAATGGCGGCAGAGGGGCTCCGACGGGGTTGGAGATGGGGTAGAAGTGCGTTTGTGGAGGGGGGGAAGCAGCTGCGGAATCACGAGTTAGAAACGGGGCACTCAAGACCGGGCGGGGTGGCTCTCAACAAAAAAGGGGGGAGCCTGCGTGGAAGCGACTGGGACGCAGGGCGGGAAGGAAGGAAGGAAGACAGGCAGTAGCAGCAGCAGCGCCTTGTTCTTGACTTTCCTCCTCCAGCACTGGTTCTGAGGTAGACGGCTACTAAAGATGGAGGCTCCATTTTGCCCTCCTGGTTGGTGCCCGTTAGGAAGATGGGGGGCGTAACTGTAGTAAACTCAGGGATGCTCTCATAGCCTGTCAGTGACTTTTCCTTACTTTTGAGATGCCAAGGGCTGGATCTGGGATCTCTTCTATAGAAAGCATATGCTTTCCCACCGATATAAACTGCTGGCTAGCTCAGTGATTTAGGTATCTATCTGCAGAGCCAGACGTTGGGAGTTTGATTCCTCATTGTGCTTCCTTGATAAGGGCTGGATTCCATGATCCATAGGGTCCCTTCTGGCTCTGTGGTTCTAAGATTTATTATTATTGAGCGGTCCCTTCTGGCTCTGTAGTTCTAAGATTTATTATTATTGAGGCCGTAAGGACAGTGTTTTTGTTTTCCTTGCTTAGATATGTTAGTGCTCTAACTCTTATGGCAGCATGTAAATCAAAACAACATTTATCCCATTTAGAGGCTTCACCTTCATAAATTTGTCCAATCTGTTTTCAAAAGACAGTTAAGGCTGTATTTCTGCACATAGTGCTTGCAAGTAAACCCTGTTGAACCCCAAAAGGTTCATTTCTAAGTAACCGTGTATGATGTAGTTGCAGAAAAAGGACTCTTCAGGTGTGGTTGCTCTGAAGCTGGTAAGTAATAGATGATGCGAGTTGTGGGTCATTAAGTGGGCCACACTTTTGCCAGATTTGGTTTGTTAAATGAATCTGCATGCTTGTGCATATCATTCTGTCAGGCAGAATGCAGTGATCCTATTTTGGAACCATAGCAGATACACAATTAAGAACAGAGTGTGACTGTTAAGAAGAAACGTTGCATATGAGTAGAGGAAGAGACTGTTTGGAGGAGAGACAAAAATAACTCTTCAGTTGGATTTTATTTCTAAGTGGTTTGGTTTTTAGGAAGAACATCCCAGACCTGAAAACTGGATTCAAAATGGGTTTTCGCAATTATTTATAGAGAACAAAGAGGGTATTCTCCATTATAATCTAAGTACTGTAAGAATTCAGTGATCTCTGTAATACTGTACTGTATCTTCATCAAATACAGCTTCATTTGTTCTTGTTACATGTTTGAATCATTTGTATCTCTTAGATTTATGTTGTTTAACTTCAGGCATCTTTTTTTACATTCTCAAGACCTAATTCTAAGAACACATGATTGATTCATTTTGTTGCTAAGGATAGATGATATTGCTGGTTAGTTTTCTTTATGCACCTCAGTTTTTTTTCTTTATGCACAACTCATTGCTTTCCTTTTCTATTGGAAATTCATTTTTGCATGATTTCCCCTATTTAATTCATGGGATAAACGCAAAATTAGTAGCAAGTAAGGTGATAGAATTTTGTTATGGTGTTTTGAAATATGCATTATGTTTTCATGTGACAGCCCACCCTAATTGGTTACTTAAGCTTTTTATATCATCAAAATTGTTAAAAATAATATGTGAACACCTCATCCAATTTTGAGATGTGTCTAATTATGTCAAAATTGATTTATTCATGCTATGACCTGTTGGGAAAACATAAGAGCAGACATGACAATTGTCATGAGATGATAAAGGTTAAGTTTATCATTATTAGTTATTTGTGTTAGAATGCATTAATTTTAGCACAGTTCTAAGATGTGTACATATGGTATACCTCAAATTAGAAAAGTAACGAGAAGAGAGTTTCAGACAGCTTTATAAAAAGTTTAAGCAGCCAATGAGAATGTAATTCATAGACACTTCTCAAAAGATCATATTTTGCCACCTTACTGGTTACCAATATGTTATCCTCCCCACACACACACACACACTCACACCCGTCTTTATCTATGGAGTGCTGGGAAGTCACATGCAGTGTGGGCTTGCTATGTAAAAGAGGTCTTCCCAATATGAAAACCTGATCATGAATTTAAATCTTTAAAGTAGCTTGCACTTGAAAACCAAGCTGCCCGGGAAATATTCCGTCTGTGGCCATGATTTTTATATCCACCAATAAGACAGCGATAACCACAGAGGCAGCTGTCTAGAGGCCTGGCATAACATCTATAAATACCATATCAGAAAGTTCACATGTTCCTGTTATGTGGGCTCCGCTGGACCTCTCTGTGGTAGGGTCCGGCCTCTTCATTTCAGTATCACTGACATTTGCAGCTGTTATCTTCTTCTTTACCTTCTACTCATTCTCAGAAGAAAAAGAGGAGGAGCCACCAGGTTAGTGCAGATCCGTATCTAAGATTTGTTTGATTTACCTGAATAAAATGTTTTTGGGGCATTGGAGCATTAGAGTAGCTATCACTCAATGGAAAAGCCAGGATAGAGATGAATAGAAACTCCTGGTGTATTTGTAGAAACTGACATGTGAGGTTAGATTTCACACAGGGAAAATGTCAAGTGTTGGGCAATTTACTGCTGTTTTAGCATAAGCTACCTTCTATAACAGGTGGAGCAGTCTGTGAAAGGGGGAGAAAGTATATAATATATCCCAGGTTAGTACAGGAAGAAATCTTGAAGCAAATATTCCAAAATCCATATTTATTTAATGTCTTTATTGAACCAATGGAAAAGTCACTCTAAAATGTTTAGGTAGACCCAATAATAATATAATAATCACAATCATAAGGGTTTTTAAATCTCCCCCTCCCCCAATTCTTATTTTAGCCATGTTTGCACCTTTTCTTCAAATGTCATTTTACTGGAACTACAGCCTTTCCAAAGTGGATGCTAAGTACTAGTTTTTAAATCTCCCCCTCCCCCAATTCTCATTTTAGCCATGTTTGCACCTTCAAATGTCATTTTACTGGAACCACAGCCTTTCCAAAGTGGATGCCAAGTACTACAATCTGCTCAGTAATTAGTGCACGAGGAGGGAACATCCAGTCTTGTATGACCATAATACCGGGTGTGAGAATGCTGCCTGACAACCTTTATCCATGTATGAGGATGTGGATTTTTGTCGCTTGGTTGAGTCAAATAGCTTAGCGATTAAATTCAGGGCACAATTGCTGTATATTTTGAAGAATATTACAAAGTAATCAGTGAGAGAGCTGACCTTTTATTCTTACAAGAGGAATCTGATCATCAAACATTAATATAGAACTGTGTGTGCTTTTAGAAACTTGGTGGATTTGCCTTGCTTTTTGTATCGGTCTTGCAGACTGCTTAGTCTTCTTAGATCAGTTTCATCACCAGTATCTCCAGGGTGGAGCAAGCAATCTGTCCTCAGCAATCTTCAGAGGAGAAGGTTGAGAGGTCCAGTCCAATTTATGTGAAGATTTCTACATTGGGAGAGTTTTCAATAATATGATAAGGTCTTTCTTCCTAGCCAGTTTTTGCCTGATCTGATACCCAAGGGATATGTTGCAGTGTAACTCTTGCCATCCCCAGCCCATGATGCTATTGGCAGAGGATCATGGGATTTGTAATCCAACATGAGTGAAGAACCGAAGGATAAGGAATGCTATACTATTGCTTATTGAGCCACATAGGTTAGGCAGGTTAGGCATCCTTCAGTCTCGAAAGACTATGGTACCGTGCTCTGTATGGAGGACTTGGAACAGCGTCTAGTGTGGCTGAGGAGGCCGATTCGAGAGTGACAGTCTCTTCCACACTGAAGACAAATCCAATCTGTCCCCTGTGCAGCTCCCTGGTTTTGCTGCTTTTGTGACTTCCTCTTTGCCTCGGCCTGCTGGACAAGGGTCTCTTCAAATTGGGAGAGGCCGTGATGCAATGCCTGCCTCCACGCTGAACGCTCAGATGTCAGGGTTTCCCATCTGTTCAGGTCCATTCCTAAGGCCTTCAGATCTCGCTTGCAGATATCCTTTTATCGCAGCTGTGGTCTCCCTCTGGGGCGCTTTCCCTGCACTAGTTTACAGGAGATCCTTTGGAATCCGACCATCAGCCATTCTCACGACGTGCCCAAGCCAACGTAGACGTCGCTACGTATGAGCCACATACAATTTTACTATTTATTGTATCTATATCCTGCCTTTTTCCCCAGAGCTGACACTCAAGCAGCTGCTTAGGACCTAAAGTGGCTGGAAGCATTTAAGAAAACAAAGAGTTGTCTTGGATGGAGCCAGGCCACTGATCCATCTGGACCAGCAGCATGACCTCTGGTTGTGGTTTTAATTGATGGTGGCCAGAATTCTATTGCATGTTTAGCAGTGGAATGACTCCATCAGTGTAAATGTCCCTTTTGTCTAGTCACCTTCCAAGTGACACAACTGCTGTACCTTGAGAGAAAAAAGCCCTGGTTTCTTAGCTGGTGGGAATTTGCCCTTGAAATGTATGCTGGTGGAGTTAAGCTGTTGGGTGAAACTAACAACATTCTGGCCAATGTCACAGGATTTCCAAAGGGGAGAACTTGGGATGCTTTCTATGTATACTATGTCACTAGGTTGCTTATGTTTTATGATAACCTTAGTTGCATTTTTGTAGTATCAGATATTTAATTAGTGGTTTTCATGTTGCCACACATCCCTGGTAAATTTATGTGGCTGAGCAGGACTGTGAACCCAGGTTTCCCGAGTCCATGCCCAGCGCTGTGTCCATTGCATGTTTTACATGTAAGTGTGTAACCT